AACGTCGCAACTAGCAAGATTAGAGGAGGCATTTGTTGGCCTGGTGTTGCAGTACTTTGAGCTGACTCCAGGCCTCTGAGGACGACGAAGCTGTTGAAACGTCAGGCCTATTGAATAAACTTGCACCATAACAAACCTGTTCGGGACAGCAGAGTTGGATATTTTTTAAAGTATTATATAGGCACATCTAAGGTGAAAATTAACCATTTAGAAGATTAGCGTTTACAAGATGAATTTTAGTCAGCTTTGTAACGCATGATCCCTTTCCGCACTGAAAAGTAACCGCATAACATTTTCTGATCCTTCAAACTGGTTAGTAACGATATAAATGCTAAGCTGATGATTTACTATGATTGATGCTAGCATGTGAGTGAAACGATACATTCGCGTAAAAACCACCGAATTTTCCAGATTCATTGCAAGCCTGTCTGAACAAAACCGGCTGGGTCGTCCACAGTTTTTTATGGAGAAGACCAGAACAACTTTTTTGGTATTAGTTTCACTTTCAAATGAATATGTATGTAGCTAGATCAGCATCCCTATTTTTACCACCGAGACATGAGCGGCTTCGATACCTGGCAAGAATATCCAGTTCAAAATGAGCGTTCATCGGTAGAAGAACGGGTTCACTGCTAAGGACAGCATCTCCTTGACCTTCATTGACAATTTTCCCATTGAGTAGTTTCCAACGATCGTATGTCCTAGGAAAGATGATAACTATTGATTGAAGCTGGATATTCCCCGAAAACTTACCATGCACAGGCGCTAGTCCTAAATGAGCATTTCACAAGCGCACATTGCGATGGAGGTCTATCTGAATCAATTATTGATTGATTTTATCGATCTTACAAAAAATTACGAGATCTTGGATTTTGTTGTAACTCGAAGGTTTGATAAGCTGACTACAAGAATGGTATATTTTTTGGGACTTTTCCGTAGGACAAGTGGACGGTAGGGAATCTCTTGACATTGTACATCTTGTATTTGCATAGATTGTGATGGATTTGTGCATTCGCACTGTTAGACATCGTATCCACGGTAGCGCATTATGAAGAGTCCACAGAAGATCTTCTGCCCTACCGTATTCCTACCGTGACAGACTACAGAATCGACGGGTTACGGTAGGTGATAGGGAATCGAAAGCAAAATTGTTACGTCTTCGCACAGAGAAGCGCAGCGTTATCATCTTCTTTCT